AGAAGCAGCGAGGCACCCCACGCGCCCATCCCCAAGGCTGACATCACTAAAAGTAAGACAGCCTGGCACGAGATGCTCCAAGAAGTTACAGGGGATTTTGAAGTCTGTGACCGATTCACCTGGTTCTAAGAAAATAATCACTTCTGTTACAACCGCGATGAATTCCCAGCCTCCCGATGACTCCAGAGCTCCTGCCAGTTCCCACTAATTTCAGCTCATTTCCCCTATAATTTTGCCTCCTGTTTACTCTGCAGAGCTCTGAACAGCACTCGGCCTTTCAGGTGAGCTGCCAAAACACCATGATGCAACACCGTACGCTCTGTTACCACCCGCTCCTGCAGCTGTGCCGCCCTCCGTGCCGCCGCGCCTCCGCTCCCTCGTGAGAAGGTAATTTACTGATTAGCTCCCTGGGAAGAGGCTTAACAACAGGATGTGCAACATATCTGTGAAAATTGCATCAACTGCGACGCCAAAGGAGTTTTTCCTTGCGTTGTGTGCTTTGCCTCCACAGTCTGTAACAGTTCCGTGAATTCACGTCTGCTGAAGAACACGAGAACTGCACCATGCTTTAGCTCCATTATGAAAATGTTTCATTACTTTTATCACGGGCTGCCAAAATTGTCACCTTCTTATGAAAGACATCTCCTTCTTGCACTGATATCCGCGATCACATCGGTTGCATCACTTCTGCTTGTCCTTTCGAGCAAGTGCTGCGGAAGCGCGAGCTGGTGTCCGTTCCATCACCTGCAGGACCGTTCCAGAGCTCCAGCCTCTGGCCAGATGTTGCCTCAAGCTCCACTCGTACGATTCCACTACTGAGGCTTCTCGGTCCAAATTCCGACTGTGTTGACCAACATCCCAACCCAAAGTTAGCGAAGGAACCAATGCCACCACTTATTTGTCCTCTTCAGCATCTTTGTATGGCACTTGTCAGGTAACAGCAACAGCAGTTTATTACCAAAGTGAAAAGCCTTTAGCAGTTCTACCACCCATTGCCAGGGAAAGCTCCTGTTAACAGGGATCACTCTGGCATGGCACAAAAAAACCAACCAAACCAAACCAAACCCCACTTACAGAGCACTAAGTGCTTCCGCAAGCGATTGGTGTAGATCTGATGTCATGGTCAGTTAAAATAACTTCAGAAGCATCAGTTGAGAGACACTACACAGGTGCCAGATGCCATTTGGTTGCCAGGATGTAAAAAAAGGCTTTTAGTTTCACTTTTCTGACGGGGAAAGTGGAAGCTGAGTAATTTAGCAGGGCAGCAACACGCCAAAGCTGCGTATAGAGCACAGCTGTCCTGAATCAGTGCCCTTCAGACCACAAGGCAAACGCTTCCTGATGGACAGCAACCACCAGTGACAGGGGAGAAAAGGAACGGAACGATTTTCTTCCCAGTATTCCTCCTTTCCTACAGAAACGCAGCCGATGTCAAAGCCACTGTCGATACGGACGTTTCCCACATCAGCTGCCTCCCTGCAGGAACCACGTACCATGAGCAGGAAGCGGCCCACAGAGGTAACGAGGACACAAACCCGGAGAGCTCAGCCACCTTCCCAAAGCGCCCTGTGCAGAAGTGGTGCCAGGCTCATCCAAAACGAGAAGCGGGAATGCGTAGGCTGGTGATGGGACACTCCCTTAGCTCCCAGCTTGAGGAATTGTGTAAACGGGAGGAAAGCACGGATCGCTGCATGGGATCCCTGGCAGCCTGTCAAACTAAGAAGCAAAGAGGAAAAAAAACCCACAAAAAACAAAAAAAAACAATGGATACGTTTTTACTTCCTTACGTTCTACAAGGCGAGTTGTTGACTTAAAACGACTGACTCCTTGTGCAACTCCAACACTTCCAAACCTCCCTCCCTTCCTCCTCCCTGTCCCTGTCCTGCACGCTCTGGTATGTGTGTGTTGGCTCCCTTCTGCCCAGGAGGCCAGGCCACCTCCTCAGAGGATGCTCCAAGAGGCATCCTGGTCATATGGATACCTTGGCAAGCAGCTTGGCCACCCTGATCTCATCCGATCCAAGTCTGCATCTATGTCCTAATTCTTCCACGCTGTCACATTTTTCCATTTCTGATGACATTTACTTGCATAGAAGGACGGCTGGACTGAAACACCCAGGCACTGCGTTGCTTCAGCCTCTCAAACCATCACGGGAAAAGCAGAGTTCTCTTTACAACAACTCCCCAGCGCAGAGGGAAATAACCAGAAACATTCGTTCCTCTTCGCAGGGAGGAGGTGGTGACCGGGGGGTAGGGAGGGAAAAGAGTTGAAACAATCTGCCAGCAGCACAAACTTTGTTCGCACTCCAATTCTGGCTCAGATGGGAAGCAGCCAGCAGAAAAAAAAACCCAACAAACCCTTAAGAAACAAGGAAGCTGTTCTCATGCTTGTAGCGAGTTCTGAAACAGCATCCCCCGCCCCCCAAAACGCTGGGATGAACGCAGGAAACGAGAGAATGCTTTTCAACAAGATTTTTGCAAAGTATTCTATGCAAAATCTCCGACTCAGTTTGTAAGATCCTGCAGATATCATGCAAGGGGGCTCTATGAGGAAGAAAATTGGCATAAAAAATGGAGACACTGGACAAAAGCCTTTCAAGTCTGAGGTCCCAAACAATGAAAGGTCTGTTTGATTAATCTGCTGCAAATTTTGAGTGCTGCACACACTGTACGAGGCTTCCAGACTGGTGCCAGAGGAGTTAAAAAAAAAAAAAGAAGAGAGAAGTGCAGCAGGAGCAGTGTGTTTGCAGAGCCAACCTCCGCGTTGCTGGAGCGGCCGGGGCTCGGGTGCCAGCAGCGGGCTCGCCGGAGCCAGGGAAATGCTGCACAAAGTCCCAGGCAGGCAGAGAAGATGCCATGAGCCGTGTTCCCTTCCCTCCCCGACGCTGCTGGCCGCTCAGAGCGTGTGCTGCACACCAGTGAAACCACAACGCTCCTCGCCCGCCTGCCGCGCCGCCGGAACCCTTCTGCACCGGCCGCTCTCCCGGTGCACGCCGTCGGGAGCAAAAGGTCTCCGAGACTGCTGCACGCCCTGGGTGGCACGTGGCCTGGCAGCCCGCGCCTGGGATCCCCCAGGATGAGTTGCATCTCCTGGCTTTCAGCACTTGGGATGTTATTCCGAACACGTCCCTCGCTACCCGCGCTTCTAACCGTACAGCGGCGATAACGACCCCCTGGCTCCGGGGGTGCGGCTGAACGGGGCCTCCCCACGCACACACTGAGGCAGGAATGTTTTTCCTTTAAGAATCTTACTGCTGGAACTCAGAAATGTTCACAGAAGCATTTTAATTATACTTTATTTACAAAGCAAATGCTTAAAAAAAAACCCAAGCCCCACAAACTTCACTTTTTTCAGAGTGACAGAGACAGGTCAAACACACAGATTGCTTCGAGGAAAAAAAAAATTTACACACCTTAAACAAACAGAGGCTTTGGCTGCAGCTGATTTGGGGGTTTTCTCTTAAGTCAAGGCCAAGAAATTGCTAAAGCACCACGACATTCTCTGAAAGTGCATGCAACTAAAGTTTCAACCCCCGAGCAGGAGCCCTGTGCTGGAACACAATCTGCATAGGACAAAAAGCCCAGGAACCCACAAATTAAAATCAGTTATTAGGAATGACATTTCATCATTCAAAGGCGCCTCTGTGAAATTTTTCAAGGTGTGTTTCACGACGTTTCTGTAGTTTCCAAAGCCGTCTACGTTCCTATTAGCAGTTGTCAAAAGAGACTGTCAGGCATCGCATTCTGAGAGCGACAAGGGACAATGTCGAACCGAAATTGTTCAACATCATTTGGAAACCAAAAGCCCATCCCGGGCACCCCGCAGCCAGTGCCCCTCTGCAGCCAGAGGAGAGCTGCGGTGGGATGGGGTGGAACGGGACAGGACAGCCAAGGCACTGCCCACCCAGCCGCTGCAGAGCTCAAGCCCAGAAAACCCTGGGGCTGGCAGCGAATCGGAAGCACGCTGCCAGGGCACGTACCAAACGCAAAGCTGATAAGAAGTCTGAGATCACCACACTGAAGTGTTTTAAAACATCCAGAGAGAGCTGAATCAATGAGAACGCTTCCCATAAACCTTGTTCTTACTGGCAACTCTCTGGGCTTGAGATTAGCCCATAAAATAAAGAGGCAAAACCTCTTCAAGTGTCAAGCCTTAACATAGTCTGTACATTGCTCTCTTGCACAAAGGAGAACTCCTTTTTCCTAATCTCAGGCCTAATGGTTTCAAAGTTGAGTTCTGTCTTTAAAACCAGCCCCACGGTGCTTCACGAAGGCAGCACACTCATCCTCCCCAAGATGGAAACGAGCGACACACCGCCCAGAGCACGGACCAGAAAGCCAGAAACATTGGGTATCAATGCAGTGAGTGATGGAGGTGTCCTGCTGTTCATCATTCCTGTGCCAAGGTGCCCTCCTTCCCCTACGTAGAGCTTCCTGCAGATGCCACTGAGAAGTGTGGACACTGAGATACACCAGCATTGGCTAAAACACCCAGGTTAGACATGCAAGAATTAGTTATTTATATGCCTGAAGTGGGTCCACGATCTGAACACCAGCACAACGCGCTCATACATGCAGACTTCATGTCAACGCGGTGCCCTGCAGAGAGGCACCCACGGCTCAGAGGAAGTCAGACAGACACTTTGATGTGGCTCTCCGCGAGAAGTAACTAAGCACATCTCTTCAGCAGAGCCAATTAGACCAGCAAAGGACCTTTTTAATTAATTTAGCAATGCTGCTTCCTGGGCTCAAGACAATTCACCTGAAAGACTGTACACACACAGCCCTGAATGTTCGGGGCCAGGGTTCACTGAGCAGGAGCAGGACTGGCCAGCAAACAATTTCCTGTAAATTCTACAGGTGTCTGCCACAAGACTGAAGCAAGACAGGATATTCAGCTAAACGCCACCGTGATGCTTCTCAATTTCCTTCAGCATCTCAAAGCTCAGCCACCAGCGCCCCAGCTGTTCACCCAGAAACTAGAGAAAAGGCTGCACTCACCTGCTTTCGTTATCCAGAAACACAGAACTACTGCTTTTCCCGAGGGCTTCGCTAATGGGAGAGAGGCAGAAGGGGGAAGAGAAGGCATCAGAATCAGAGTCAAAAGTACTGTCCCTGCTCACGTCATCAGCAGACAGCTCCAAGGAGCCCTCGTCCTCCCCCGGCTCTGGCCTGCAGTCCAGACCTTCCTCTGTCCCCTCCACCGACAGCTCCGACCTGTTGGGCTCCTCCTGAGAGCTGACTGTCGAGAGGATTCCCGAGGCACTGCGGGCGGGCGGGGGGGAGCGTTCTGCCGCGGAGCAGCACTGGGACAGCTTCTCCCCTTCCGAAGAGGGGGAGCTGATGTAAGCCACGTCTTTCACCAGCTGGGACACAGTCAAGATCTCTTCTTTCAGGATCACCGTCCCTCTCTGCTCGGTGGGGGAAGCCTGCCGGACAACGCCGAAACCCTGAGTGTGGCGGCCGCGTTTGCGGGGAGCTTTACGGACAGGGGAGCTCTCAGGAGTGATGTAGCACAGGGCTTCTTCGTCCTGCCTCTGGATGCGGGAGTTTGGCACCCAGGCAAGGATAAGCGTGGTTCCCAGCAGCTCATCCTTCTCCACGTACAAGCACAAATAGCCTTCGAGAGAGCAAAGCAGCCATCAGTTTGCCGCAGCGTTACGCTCAGGAAACGGTGTAAGCCTGAAATCTGCCCTTCCCTGTGCCCCTTCGCCACCATTACACGTGGGCAAAACAAACCCTTCTGCTTACCAGGAGAGAATTCTGCCAAACAGCGACACTATTCAGCATTTATGAATAATTTCAAGTCTGCATATGACTTTCGAATAGCCTGAATTCCCTCCGGCCCAAGTGGACATAGAAATGACATGCAAATACTTGAACTTCCTGGACGGATTACTAATCAAGAGTCAATTGTGAAATACGCTGCCACATGAAAAACTTCTGCTGTTTGTTAGTCAAACGATTTCAAGTGCCAGCTAAACATTTCTTTCTCAAGAATATTTACCTTAGTGTAGCTAAAGGGCTACAATTTTCATGGAAAGCCAATAGAAAAAAAAAAAAAAAAGAGTCATGCAGACAAAAAGGGAAGCGTGGGTCAACGTTCACAGAATAATTAGTTTTGTGAATCTAAGCCAGTAGCCACAGCTCTCTTTGATGAAAACATGAAAGAGTGCAGTAACAGATGAGAATAAAGGGTATTTATTCTCAGAGCAGTATTTATCTTCATTTACTCCAGTGCATGCAGCCACAATCAGGTTTGCTTTCTTCTCCCTTTCCCAACAGTTGTTGAGGCCACTCTAGCAACGACGGTTAGAAGGTGACACTTGGCTTCCCTGAACAATACACGTATTCGAAAGAGCAGCAGAAGTTACTGCCCTCAAATGAAAACTGTCCATCTTCTGGCAACACAAAAGGACTTCCTAAAACAGGTAAATCCACAGTAGACCAGAAGAGAAAGGAGAAATATCATCAATTTTCCTACTAAAAGAAGAGCTGATGGATCAGCTTGTGGATGGCTCTCCTTAGTCTCCCGTAAGAACCCCTTGCCCTGTCCCCCACCAGCACCTCTTCGTTCTTTAGAGCCCAAGATGTAGCGTCTGACACAAACACACCCCCCGGGAGAGAGAAAAAGAGCGAGTGAGCAGTGCCTGCAACACCCTGTCACCTGGATGGTGCTCCCCGACGCCTTGTAGCAGCTCAGGTGGATGGACACAGACATTGTTCTTAGAGTAGATCATCTCTCCGTCAAGTACGGAAGAGGAGCTGCTGCCACCACCAGGATTCAAGGTCAGGAGGTCGGAAGCTTTTGAAGAGGCACGTCGGAGGAGTCGCCCCAGAGACATCGCCAAGGAAATGTTTCCATTATCTGTCAGCTTTAATCAGGAGCCAAATTCAGAAGATCTGCCAAGAAGGAGAGAAGAATAGTGTTAGAGTAAATGTAACCACAGCACAGCACGTGCCTACCAGAGTCTGAGAAGGAAGAGGTCTCCCATCAACTGCTGCATCAATCCTGCAACTCAAGGGAGAGCCTCCAAACGCTCTGGATCTGTAACATCATCCCTACGTTTGAAAGACCCTGAAGTACCGAATCCCGGGATGTTTGTGGGAGCACCCAAACGCTCTGGATCTGTAACATCATCCCTATGTTTGAAAGACCCTGAAGTACAGAATCCCGGGATGTTTGTGGGAGCATGAAGAAATACGAAGGCAGCAAAACCCACACGTTTCGATAGTTACTGGGGAGGAAACAGAAAAGTAATGCTTGTCACTGCAAGCTACCCATTAAGGGCACAACCCAGCGATGCAGAGCTGCCCGACACATCGCCGTCCGGGGGATGCCAAAGGGCCAGCGCAGACCCCAGAGGATTCCTTCAGCACAAAAAAACTGCTGAGACCACGACACTGAGCAAGGGGCCGCTGCTTCGCCCACAGTAACCACTGATCTCCAAAAAAACGTTACTCAAAACGAGTCCATCCTGCGCTTAGCAATTTTTGGCATAATCCTGCTGTGCATTTGAGGGTTTAGGGTTGTTTTTTTTTTGGTTTGGGTTGGGTTTTTTTGAGCAGTGATGGTTAAATAGAGCTTGTTCAGAGGTAAGCAGCAAGAGTCCCACATTCAACAGAGTGGGAAGACTCCAACAGCAACTCACGGCAAACATGTCGTCCATCAATAGGTAACTGCAGCCAACGGTGGAGCACGACCCCCAGCTAACCACCAGGTCAGCTCTGCACTCGAACGAGACGTGCTGCTCATCGGGGCCGCTGCTGAGGAGCACTACGGTAAATCCAGAGCGGTCACCCAAGCCATAAACCATTTAGCAGATGGATCAAGAAGAAGACTTGATGGTGGGTCTTGCATGAAGCAATCCCACGCGCAGCCCAACACAATTCAACGCAGCCCAAGCTCTGCCTGCTGCTGCCATCCCTAGCTGGGAAGCAGACCATCAGAGGCACGGCACTTTCTGTTCCGCCAAAAGTACACAAGGAGACGAAACATCTACTTTTGTTCCCTTGTGTTTGCACGGCCTTACTTGCTCGTGAACAGGCTGGTCTGACCCAGCACACCCCACACCTTGCCACGGTGCCAGGTCCGGCGACAGCGCGTGGAGACATCGGCTCAGCGTGTTCCTCGTGACGAGTCCCACGCCACGCTCTGCAGAGCACGCAACGGGGCAGCCAGGAACAAAAGGAGAAGCAGACAGGCCCTGACTTGTGCTACCAGGGGCTCTGTGTGCAGGAAGCATTTAGGAGCCCAAAGCACCGTCAAACACCGAATAGCTCCAACTTCTTGAGAGAGGGTTTTACCAGCATCTCCAGACCAGCGAGGAGGGCAGAAGGCAGAAAGGGCAAACAGAAACCAGTGTTTCTCAAAGAGCAGAGCGAAATCTGCAGGGAAGGAACACAGCTGTCCTGATTCTGACGGATTTGTACATACAGAAGATTGTAAATGAGACTGCTGAGCAGCTGACAGAGCCTTCAGTAAAGGACAAACTATCGATTTAACTGGCGGTCGTGAGATCTGTCAGCTTGAACCACAGCACAAGCAGTTCCTGCGTTTCAGGCTCTGCTGGAACGTGATGGAGAAGCCTCAACCCTGCTGTGTACTGTGCCCAAAAAAGGTTTAGGATAAGAGAGTTACTTTGCAAGTCCTTTGCACCCATGTCTCCTTCTAGCACCAAACACAACACGTAACTTCACATCTCAGCCCAAAAAAACAAACACTGCTGGAGCCATATGCTCATTCTTGTCTGGGTTGTCAAAAAACCACAGTACTGTTTCAGGCCCTGAGTTGTACCTGGGAGAAAGTCACTTGCCTCAAGCACATTTAAAGAGCAAGTCACCGTTCCTCTCATTGCACCCTGCAAGAATACAGACAACAAACTCTGCTGCAACTCCTCCTTCCCACCACCGAGTTGCAACACACCATTTCAACATAGTGTTGAGGGAGTCCAAAGCCATGATGTGGAGCAACCTGTAGGGCATCAGAGGCCCTGAGCCTCCACAGCATTCTGGAGGCAGCACGGTCTGCTCAGCCACGTCCTGTGGCCGTCGAGACGAGGCCTTTAGCTACGTCAGCTGTTGGCCACGGAGTGCTTCCTGGGAAAACACAAGTGAGCTTTTCCTACCACGGACAGCAGATGGAGGTGCACGGATGAAACACCAGCTTGTGTGATGTCCTACCGCAGCTCCCCAGGGGCTCTCAGGAATGCAGGCAGAGGCGCAGGACTTCTCTGCCAACAGAGGCAACATTTAATTAGCTTTTACCTACCAGAGAAAGAACAAAGCGACAGGTAAAGATCAAAAGCTGCTCCCTGGAAAGCAGGAAGAATTTAAAGGGAAGTATCACTTTGATCCTGCAGAGCACCTGTTGCTTCAGCACTGCCTGGACGTGCAGGTGGACGGCACTGCAGGTACATGCACGTATATGCCAGCTGGGAAGAGGAAACAAAAACAGGACAGGAGGTGAAGAATATGATGTCCTTCCAGCACAGAAAATTAGTCTGTTGCATTTGTCTTGCAGAAGAGCTATGCATCAGAAACCAGAGACCACTATAATGCTGCAAACAAACAGCCAAATATACTGGGATGCATAAATATCACCAGCAAGTCCCAGATTAATCCTCTCACCGTTGCCACAGGCTAGGGAATTCTGTGTCGCTCTGGTCGCAACATTAAAGAAAAACAGATGGAAGTCACTGGATGGTTTCAGGGAGAGTGACAAAAGCCATCTGGAAGGAGATGCCAAGGGAGGATTAAAGAAAGGTGAACGTGATTCGTACACGAGAACTGTCACTGCCAAAAAAAGGAAGAGCTGCCTATGGAGGACAGGAGAGTTTGTAGGGCAGTTGAACCGTGGCAAGGAATATCTGGTTTAGCCATTCTAACAGCAGGGATAACGGTGTACGAGAACAGGGCACCCCGAAGGGACCATTTCCCTCACCGGGGGTTTCAAAGACAGGCTCCAGAAACAGGCAGTCGGTCCCAGTTAGGGCCACGTGATGGACTGGACCTCTGAAGGTCATCCAGTCTACTCGTGCAACCCCAAAAGTCTCTGAAGCACAGCTTGGGAACGTGCTTCTCCTTCCCAGAAGACAAGAGTTCATACGACACAAACCAGCAAGTAACAAAAAGACCAAATCTGCAGAATTTCCTCAGTTCTGAGCCCCCTGTGTGGGACAACGTCGGTGCACACCCCCCACGGGCTGTGGGGAGAAGCAGGTGTTGCTGCTGCCCCTTGTGTGGGTTGGGAAGGCGGGTGGGAACCGTCTATAGCTAAGTGAGCATTAGATTAGCACCATTCAAAAAAAATGTCTTTTTCATATTAATTTTCTATTTATCCCCTGATCTGAAGGGATTCTTTTCAACGTGGCAGAGACGACCCAGCTCTCCAGAAGCTGAAGCACCGAATTAGCTGATAAGCTCCTGCCGAGTGCCAATATTTATTAAGCATACACACATTTTCTTCTCCCACACAACTGTCGCCACTAAAAATCTTTGCTACAGCTACCGAGTCTGTTCGCGCAGCCCCTGGCTGCTCTCCCAGTCAATGCCAGCACTTCTCAGCCACCCGGGATCCCAGAAACGCGCTGGGGAGCCAACTCCTGAAATCACCCCGGGAGCCTCTTCACAAGAGCCTGACCAGTTCCAGCCAGCAGCATCTCAAATAACACCGGCTGCTCGCCTCCCGTGGAAATGCCCTTCCCCTTCTCACAAACCCATGAACAACAGAATCCTGTTTGGCTTGGCACATCGCACCCTCACCTTGGCAGACGCTGCTGGACCAAACGTTGCTGCCTCCGGTCGCACGAGATTCCTGTTTTCCCGGGAAGGAGGGCAACGCCGGGCTCCTGCGCGGGCTGACACGGGCTCCAGCACGTTACTCGGGGTCTGTGCGGCACGCGCCGACTCCGCCGCGGTTCACAGGCA